CACACACACACACACACACACACACACACACACACTCAAAGCACAGTGGATTCAGAAGGTATGTGAGCTCCTTCACTTTGACACATTTTTATCTTGTAGATTTGATCTTGAATGGATGAAATTGCAATTTTCTGCCCATCGGTCACACAAGAATACGTAAATCTGTTAAAAATGGAAAAACTGAAGTCTTTCATTTTCATAATTATTTAGGCCTTTTTAATTTGGTACTTTTGGAAGTCCCTTTGGCAGCATTTAAAGCTTTGGGCTCTTGGGTAAGTCTCTACAAGCTTTGCAAACATGAACAATTTATCCCCTTCTTCCTTATAGATCCTCTCAAGCTCTGTCAGATTGGAAGGGCAGCATCTCTCAACTGCCATCGTCAAGTCTTTCCACAGATGATGCATGAGCCGTGTTTGCCACGGATGTGTCCTTGGAGGGAAGGAGGGGGGATATCTTTTCGGTTTCTCTTTCTCTCTCGCACTTAATAGTAATTATTTTCTCTTGTCTTAAAATAAGAGAGCTTCATTGTTAATTACAACATTACAGATGGATCAAAGCCCCTCCTCGTACTTGTCAGGACATTACAAGCAGAGCTTCTTGCAATCTCATCCATAGGTGCCAGGATCAGCATTTCTGTACACTCTGGAGCAGGTTTTGTGTATCTATTTGACAGTTTTCACGCAGCTCCTCGGTCACTACACTCCTGCAGTAGGATGCAGCCACCCCAAGCTTTAGTAGCTTGTGATGGAAGACTTCAGTTTTTCCATGAAACCCGAAGCTTTTCTCTCATGTTCTTGGAGTCCTTGAAAATGCCGTTTGACAAATTCCAATTGGGCTGTCAGATGTCTTTTTTCCTCGAGTGGCTTCTGTCTAGCCACTTTACCTTAAAAGCCTGATTGATGAAGTGCCATCGGCATGGCCATCCTTCCAGCAGGTATCTCTTCAGAGGACCTATGAATCTCACTCTGACTGACCACTGAGTTAGACTGCCAACTTTATGACAAGCCGAGGTGCTCCCAAACTTCTTCAATTTCATAATTATTGAGGCTGGTGTGCTCCAAGTTTTAGGAATGGCTTTTCTAAAACTCTCTGACTGAGAGTTACTTGGACTTCATGGTGTCTTCTTTTTCACTGACAGTAAGTTTGGATTTTGAGACCTGTGTTTCAGAAGAGATGTTTGTAGTAAACTGTCACGTTTCAGTAGGTCTACATTATTTACAAATCATTACATTATCCTTTATTTCACATAGTTGTTCTAAACTATTTACAGCCACTTTAGTTTGTCAGAGGTGGACTCACACAGGCCTGGAGACTAAACACTAACCCCCAGGTAATCTCCAGGGAAAAATGTGTGTATTCCTTGACAGGTTGGTGAGTGGTTGCTGGCTGTTGCTAGGTGAAATTTTTTTGCAAAAAGGGTGCTACACTCAAAACCTCTTTGTGATTGCTTTGATCTTTTGGACAATGTTCTTGTCGTTTGTGATTTGCATAGATTGTACTATTTACTTTCTGAGTTGTAATGAAACTTGAAAATGTGTGATGCAAACCTGAAATCGAGAGTGCTCACCTTCAGGGTAAAAGTTTTTTTGATCTGTGTTGTACTTGTACAATTTCAGTACTGCTGGGTGAGTAGCTTGCAAGTGTTTGCAGAAAGGTTGTTGCCTTCCACACAAACTACATCTACATGTAACTGTGGCAACCTGCTAGCTAACAAAGCAATCACAAAGAGGTTTTTGGTGCAGTATCCTCTTTGCAACCACTTTCACGCTAACGTTTTCCTTCGACCACTCACAAACAGGTCTGAGAATGAACTTCTTTCTTCTTTCTTTTCTTTCCCTTGTAACCTCTGTTTGCCAGATGATCACTGACCAGTCATCAGGTATGTGTGACTGAGACCTAAAGTAAACAGGATGCAGTTAAGTACAGTTTAAGGTGGCACAGAAAAACTTCCACTTACTTTTAAGAGGTTTCAGCTTTTACCACTGTTGTCAGTAATTAATGCATTTTAGGCGTCAGACTGACGGACTTGTTATTATTATTTACATATCGGTATCAGATATTAACGTTTTTGTATCTCTTTGTACAAGAGATAGGCTCACCCCAAAGCATGATCATTTAGATTATGATGCTGTTTTTTTTTCTCACCAATTTTATCTATGATTCTTTCTTTTTGCTTCTCCAACCTAAGAATAGAGATCTCTCCTTTTTTTTTCTCTCTTCTTTTTTTGTGAGTCTGCAAAGTGTGGGCAGGTATCACAGACACATCCCAATAAATCAAGTGCCTGCGGAATCGAAAAATCCCAAGTTCAGACTTTTCAAAAGACTTTTGATCCCCTCCCTGCTAGACGATATAGATGTTTCACAACTTCAAAACTGGACCTGCACTGGTAATTCCAGTCTCCAGTGTGAAAGCAGGGAATGAGTTCAGCATTCAATAAAAAATGAAATCAGACATGAAAAGCCGTCTGTCGGAGGCAAAGACGTGAAACAGAATGCCTTTGATTATGCTTGAACGCACCAGCCTGTTTAGCTCTTTTATTTTTTCCTGTTTAGACACAATGGCTGCGCTATTTTAGTGCCCTCCACTGCCATTATGATTGGTGTCTCCGTTTTTTCTCTCCATGTCCTCATAAAGACACACTCTATTCTGTGTATTAGTTATTGATGTAATCAAGTTGTGTGGCCTCCATGATTACATTTATACAGTAGGATTCAAAATAATGTCAACAGCCAAACAAATGGGGAAATAAATGCAATATGACAATAAATCTGACACGAGCACCGAGGACTGCAATGCTAACTTAGCGTTTACCCTGGTTACTTTGCACCGGGGTCCAGAAACTGACACAGGAAAGCCTTTTCTGATGGCACGCGTAGACACCAAGTTTTTTTGTTAACATTTATATATATATAACATGCAATGCTGAATAAAAAGAAAAAGTGATCTGTTTTTGTTTTTATTACGTGTGAAAAGAATTTCTGGTGCATTACAAATTTAAAAGCATCTGTCTCCAGAAAATGTGATGTTGGTCCCACAAATGTCAAAGAACCTAAAACAGATGAGATTAATAAAGTTCCTATCGATGCAAGGCTAAACATGACGAGGCAGTAAAGCCATACTCATTAATCTTTTAAGACCCTTCTGCTGTCATTCCAGGAGAAAGCCAAGTTGACTTTAGCTTCCTGAACTGTCAGTGGTGTAAGGATGTGTTTAAGCTTTCCACTGACATGAAGGGACTGGATAGGCTGCCACCCTTTCCCTTATTACTTCTTTTCAACCCTTCAGCTTCCTCCTCCGGCTCGCTGAAAATTAAGGCAACATTCCTGTTCATGCAAATCTCACTGATATTAAAATGGATTGTATAGCATCACATATTTTGCACTTGTCGTTGTAGTTAGAAGTACATTTTCTAGTGGTTGAGGAAAGACCTGAACAAAGGCTTTCATCTGTACCACCATTATACAGATTCTTTAACTGAATTGTTATCAATGTGCCAATGTAGTTGCTAAGGTAACTGCATTTCAAGGTACTACCTGATAGTAATTTTAACAACTTTGTCTATGCATAAAATCTAGGATAGATCTCTTTATTGACTTTAAAAGAGGGATTTATATCATCTGTAATCTATTACTTCACACTCAGCTTGTGAAGTGGTCAGTATTATGCATGTATTAAAATGTTTTAAAGTCAAATGAAATAAAATGGTTTTCTTAGAATATATTAAGGCTTCTGATATAATACCAACTTCTAGGGAATAGGGGGGTTATTCTATACATGATCAAGTAACTTGTGATTTTGTTTAAGCGTATTTATTGGAGAAAATGTAAAAATTTTACCTTCATGCTATATTATGAATAGTATATTTTTCATTACAGGCCCTCAAAGTACACATGTTAGTTATGCCTTTCTGTGAGCTCAAATTTCAGCATTTTAAAGAACTAAGGAACATCAGTTTTGTTTCTCCATTTCATGGCTGTTAGCTACATTTGCAACCGTTTACAATATGACTAAATTATAAAATTATTTTGACACGGTATGAATCACAGCCAGAAGATAAGCAAGGCATCAAAATGCAGGTTAAAAAAAATAGAGAGACGGTAGATATGCTATAATTTGTTTTGACAGCCACCTATCCCACATGGTAACGTTACCCCTTGAAGTTTAGCCAAAGTGCACTTTTTAAATTTCTTTCACATCCACGACACCAATGTTTGGTTTTCTTACTCTTTATGCAAAACCTTAAACTGATGACGTTTTGTTTTTCAAGTTGATGTATCCTGTGATTTTTGTTCTTAAAGTTGGTTATATGAAAAAACTTTCTTCAGTGGCTTAAAATGTGAAAAGTTTGCCCTCAATCCTGTGTACTTCAAGATTTTCATAGCAAAGGCAAGATTTTGCACGGCTTTATGTAGTACATACAAGTTATTGTACAAAAAAATAATTAAATAAATAAAAAATCAGACGGGAGGCACTGACTTTTAATGAAATTACCCCGGCAATATGTGTGACAGTGTATGATACTGAGTGTTTGATAAGCAGTTTTGCATTCATCCACCCTCCGTGTTCAAAGGCTGAATGTGCTTCATGACCTGCTGAGTATTAAACTGTGAAATGAGTTTAGCGTTGAACTTGTGACAGCTTTTATTGAGCATAATCTTTCATACAAACACAATGCCACAATTAATACAGTGTTATATATTGCTATGTTTTAAAAAGTTCGTATGTGATTGTGCAAATGTTATATACGCATATAATATAGAAGCTTAGTAGAATTTATTTGAATGTAATAGTACTTTTATTCAAGATCAGAGAAAAAAATCCAACATAATATACATATTATTTTTGCGTTGGTCAGTGCTGTGTGCACTAAAGCTTTGTATCTTCAGACTGCTCAGGGATGCAGCTAGAGATTCAAGACTCCGTTCTCTGGTCTGTGAGGAAGAGCAGAACTTTTATGTGGGATGCTGTAGCTGTTGTCTTCTTTGTTTCGTTCCGGCAGCCACCAACACTCCTTTGTGGTTTGGACAACCCACTCTCTCCTCGCTGCCTGTCCGACTTACCACCTGACGGGGTAAATGTACCAGTACATCGCCTGTGCTCTGTGTCAGTGTGATTGTGACTATTGTTAAAGCCATCAGTATTTCGTGGTAATGGTGTTCCTGCTAGACATGGTCCATTATCATCTCCTTGTAAAATGTACCTTATTACCAATTCCATTCTCTCATTGTCATCTAAAAGATGGTGCTGTATTTAATTCTTAATCATTCATATGTAACAGACCTGTAGTAATATAGCTAGATCTCATATTTCTAGTTTTCCTTACCTCCTGTGGTGGTAGAGGTCTCCGTGTTTTTGTGCTTATTTTGTCTGTTTATGTATCCTCATTGGTCCTCCTACCAGCTCCTCAGTTCAGCATGTGAAAGGAATAACAATTAGATTCACCCTGACCTTCTCTTAATGTTTATCCATCATATATCCCAAATGTCTTTGGCCTAATCGTTTGAGTCTTCACAAAAAAGTCTACACAGGAATGTTAGTTTGCTGAAGTCTTTGTGGTGTGTTAAAGTGCAAAGATGTGAAGCGAAGTGAGGTGACAGAAAAGCCTGCCTGATGAAGCTTTTTGTGAGTTTGAGGTCAGCTCAGCTTATCAGAGCCTAAAGTTTCTCTGTGAAGAAAAGAGGAGAAAGTTTTCCGCCCACAACTCCTAAGCTAACTTTTTAAATTTTTTATTAGCACGAATAATGAGTCTAAAGATGAACAATAATGACTTTTAAACCAGATTAGGCAGCAAAAGCATTCAGTGACATTTTTATAGTATAGCAAGTTGAAACCCTTTTTTTTCCCACGTCCAACTGATCCAAAGTAATTGTGCCTCACATCGTTAATAATTCTGCATTTCCAGCCCTGTGTGCAGTTTTCCTTCACGGCAAAAAGATTCAGCATCTATAATTGTTGGTAAAGTTAATTACTGTGCAACAGTTACTATAAAAATAATTACTGAAAGATGGCTATTTACATTTCACACTAATGTACATCAAAAACATTACAATACCCAAGCAGACATTTAATTTCCATTCTGTGTTTGCAGACTAATGAATCTCTGCTCGCTTACATACTTTATTTGCTCACAGAGTAAAGCATAACAATAGCAGCAATCAGGCCAGTAATGAGCATTTTATTTTACTTAGTTAATGGTGTAGATCTTTTTTAAGTGACCATTTGATTTGTTGGGTCTTTAGTTGTGGAGTTCAGTAATTATTATGCATTTCTGAGTTTCTTTAATATGTGCAAGGTTAACGATCTAATGATTCACCATTTACTTATTCTGAAACCTAAAGGCAAAAATGCTGTATGTGTTTAAATGGCATTTTATTTCAAATGGCGAATCCTTTTTCTTTTTTTTTAATTGTAACTCAGGAGAGTGATCTTCCCTTTTTTATTATCATTTCAATCTTGATCTTTGTCAAAACCATCAAAACTACTGTCTTAATACAGTCTTTAACGTTGACAAAATGGTTTGCGGCCAGTGAAAGTAGACCAGTTCTGTCACATTGCTTGAGGTCAGTTATTCAGGTCAAATGAGCGGTATTGCAGGTGATTCGCCAGCCTGCAGCCTGTGATGTTTTTAAAAATAAAGACACTGTTTTAAAAAACAATGCATGTTGCACTTGTGGACTCATTCATGTGCAGTCCTGTGAAAAACCATGCTATATGAGTCTTTGCAGTTCTGTAAATGCTGCATAGGGTTTGAAGTGAGACTCTGCAAGCTGATCCCTTATAGTTATGGTTCTCTCTGTTCTTGACTAATAATGGTAAGAATATAATTTTTATAGTGAAGTCCTTGCTGCAGCATCCAGTTTTTAATGCAAATCTTACCTTTGCTGAGAGGTGTGTTTTGTTTTTTTTGTTTTGTTTTTTCAATTTTGGGTTAACTATTGTGGAAAAGGAGACCTATTTGAGTTACACATCACAAGAAAATAGTCTCTAAAAAGTAAAACAACAACAACCAAACAAAAAAAAACAAAAAAACAAGTAGTCCCCCCATAGGGACTGCTTAAGAGGGTAAGTAGCAACAAGATACTGTTAATCAAACGTACTCAATTAACGGATAATGAGCCTCTGTGAGTATCTGTATAATAACAGAAAATTTGGCAGTTTTCTGTACAAAAGCTCAAATCCAGCAAATTTACCCCAAAGTCAGACTTTGCGGTGCTCAGATTTTTGCAGAAACCCCAAGAGCTGCTTGTCTGACTCAATTAGTATGTTTAGTGTTAAAGTTTGTGATGTTACAGTTAGAAAAAGAATGGCAAATGGACTGGAACTAGTTTGGTTTTTCTGCTACAACTCTCATTCACCCAATCACCTATACATTGTTACAGTGCCTTTATCTATACCTAATCACTATTGTATCAATTTACACATGTACACTGTGATGAATGGATCAGGGGCAATTTGAGCTTCAATATCTTTCCCAAGGATACTTTGACATATAGACTGTAGGAGCAACTCTACTACCTAAACCACAAGCGCTCTGGAGCCCTTTGTACACGGACCATTCAGCAGAAACTGGCTTCCACATAAGAAAAATAGGAGAACATTAGTATTGTTTAAACATGCATGCATGTATAATCTGTACCAATATCAAAGCAAACTTTGATAGAAGCAGGTGTGAATAATTATTTCGGCCTTTTAGCATTCATTACATCCTTTCTGTGAATTGCATCTGTTTTCCCCTTAGCCCACCCATCCATTTTCTTCTGCTTATCCAATTCAGGGTGATGGGGGTGGTTGGAGCCTATTATAGCTGCCATATGGTGAGCAGAGAGAGCAGGGTACAGCCTGGACAGGTCACCAGGGCTAACACAGACAGCCACACACACACACCTGTGGGCAATTTAGAATCACCAGTTAACCTAACCCTACTAATTGCTAGAGATGGCACGATACCACTTTTTTATGTCCGATACCGATACCGATATCATAAATTTGGATATCTGCCGATACCGATATGAATCCGATATAGTGTTTTTTAATCAACAAAACTGTTTTTTAAAATATCTTGCTGCATTTTGCAAGTCTGCAAGTTCATACTCAAGTTTAAAACAACAACTACACTAAAGCTATTCTGTTATACCTGTATACAAAAAAAATATTTCATAGTTCAGCAATACTGATCAATCTAATAAACTTAAACCTACACCATCCTCCCTATTCTGGTATTTTAAAGAGTACTTAGCGTAAATATTAAGCAACCTAACTAATAGGGTTCCAACTCCCAGCAACAACAAAAATAAATAAATAAAAAATAGGGAACCACCCCTCACGCGCCACCTCATGATGCTTAATCGACGTAATCAACCTTAATTTGATGCAGTGTGAAAAAAAAAATGCACAGAAATCAATTATTTTTCAAGAAATATTAAATAGATTCAACATCTTTCTTCAACAAAATTGCAGACTGCACAGATGGTACCTTCCCAAAGGAAAAAGTACTATAGCTTACTAGGGTATATATATTAGACTTAATAGTCACTATATACAGTAATGGACTTCTATTTATTTTGCATCAAATTAAAACTTTGTGTGTCAGATAATTATTTATTAAAAGCTAGACATTTTAAATGAGAATAAGAAAGAAAAGTATGTCTTTGTGCCCCCTTTTCCCAGTTAATGCCCTATCGGCCCCCCTGGTTAAACTTTGCTAGATCCGCCCCTGCACAGTTACCAGCGTCAGCTACGTAGAAAAGGATCCTGGTGTAGAAAGTAATATTAAATAAATTCTAACAACAGCTTATCAAGCTTAAACGTGCTGCTGTTGTTCAGCCGCTGGTTTCCTCTTTCTGGTGCAAAGTGGGCCAAAAACAAAGAAGAGAGACGGAGTCGCGACAGAAAAGCCGATCAGCTGATCATTTAAGCAGTTTCACGATTGAAGTAGCAGCCGGAGAGCGAGAGGCAGTCGCTCGTTAAGCTTAACGCAGGAATGCTTTACAAACATTCAGAGATGGACTTACACACTTGCTTTACTTCTCTCGGGGATAACTTTGCCGGAGATGAAATGCCAGGTTGCTAGCGAAGCTCCAAATGCTATCCAGACCACCGACAGGTCCCGCATGCCACAGCCACTCTATCACGTGAGGCATACTGCTCTGACGTGCTAACGTTCTGAGGTGAGTTACGGCGTGTTGCAAGTTTTGTGAGGTGCTTTCGTGATATTTAATGGATCGGATTACATTTTTTATTTTTCTCCGATATCCGATCCAGTCATTTAGGTCAGTATCGGACCGCTACCGATACGTAATATCGGATCGGTCCATCTCTACTAATTGCATGTCTGTGGACTGTGGGAGGAAGCCAGAGAGAATCCATGCAGACACAGGGAGATGATACAAATAGATGGCAGATTTAAAAACCCGAGTTCTCCCCTGTTCTTTTTCTTTCCCCCCACAAAAGAGATGTCATCAAAGTGTTTTTCTTTTTCATGACATGTTCAGTGTCCTGAAGAATTAGAATCACAGCAAAATACCTAGCTTTAACTATCTCGTTTCTTCTAATCAGATGTACCATGTTGTGCTACCAAATCTTTATGTAACAGATGAACACACCATCACACTTGATTACTCCTATAATAGACCTGCATCAAAAGCTTTAATGGATGTACAATTTACATAAGCAATGTTCTGCCTACTTATTACTGATGTACATAACGTTATATGAGATCAGTCTTAAAATAGATATGCATGTAATGCAGATGGAGGCAAGTGTTATATTCCCAACTTACTTTACCAGCTGGGACTATGTTTTCTTTATTTATGATTAAGTAAAAACCAGACATGTTAGAGATGCTGAGGAAATCTGAAGACTAGATGATTGGTTATTAGACTGAGCAGCTCCCTTTTTCTGTGATCAGAGTTGCTATACGAATATTGCTGCTAAGTAGAAAACAGACATATTTAGGAGACTCTCAATATCAAGAGCGTTCTTTAATTATTCATTGTGGGTGTGTAGTTTTCCGTATACTTAAAAAGAATAACTGTACACCCTCCTGTGTGTATGTTTATCTATCTGTTATTGGGACAGACATAAACTGTTTTTCAGTTTAAATGTGAAGCAATTTTAAAATATTACCTCCACCGAAATATGCCCCATTAATTTAATTTCATACATATGAAAGAAGAGCGTGACACTCAGCGGCTCACCCAGCCTTTTTATTAACATGTAAAAGCTATGTTTTATTCAGTGATGTTGAATAACAGCCCATCAAAGCACAGGGAACATTTACTCACAAATGGGAAAACCACTCCACTACCCACAAAAAATAAATAAATAAATTTTTAAAAAATCAAGCGCTCAGCCAGACAAGAACTTCAAATTACTTCCATTAGTCTCGTATATCTGACAAGCGCTGCCTGCTTATGGGGTCTGTTTGAAGACGCAAATTCACTTCTATGCTGAGCCAGACATTTTTGTGGGGTGAAAAAAAAAAAAAAGGATTTCTAACCAGGCCAGTATTCGTCTGAAAATTAACACTGTTTGAGGCCCCAATTGCACATTAATTGCTGTTTATGTCATCTCAATATAGTGCATGGAGAATAGAAATAATATTTCAAGCCTAGTTTTCATTCTGTGTTAGAAATACAGATTTTTAATTGGCTACTGTGGACGCAGACTTGGCAAAGAAAGTTTTGTTTCTTTCCCATTAAAACAACTGCCCTTATTCAATCACATCATTGTTTTTATTGTCGGATTGTCATCATGTTCTTGCTTTTCTAGAAATGCAAGACAGGTGTTTCCGATTCTTTTGCGAACTGTTAACGCCAAAGTCAGCTGTTTTTTGTTTTGTTTTTGTGTTTGTTTTGTTTTTGGTACTTGGAGTAGAAAAGCAATCCAAATGATTTGCTTATGATATACACTATAGAGCTGTGTTGCTTGATAGCAAATGTTAGTATTGTTCTTCTTTTGATCCACAGCTCTTGTACCCAAATGAGCTTCATTCTCTAATGTCAGTTTTGTCTGAACAAAATGTACTCGTATCCCGAGAGTATCTGCCTTGGGGATCTGAGTCACACTTGCCATCTTTCCATGTTCACCCTCTATGGAGCAGTTAGGGACTTTACACCCTATTACATCACATGTCGAGGTCGTAGTTGTATCTGAATTTTCATCCTTTTACACATTCATAGATTATAACAAAATGCTAAATTATCGTGCTCCCACGGCGCTGACTTTTTTCTCACAGACGGCTGCTGCAAGATTTCCCAGAGGACTCTTACTGTGTAGGATCCACGAAAGGATAAATGGCTCAGACATTATGCAAAACAACAACAAAAAAGCCCCAAAACTTTCATTTGCTTCAATCATCATTAGCAGTATTTTGTATCCTATCTTTTTTCCCCTCCCTAAGCTCTGAAACCTGAGAAATAATCACTGGACATGTAATATGCTTTCACCATTAGTCACATTATTTCTATTTAATGATCTTTTTCAGTGCTGCGCAGCTCATTTAAATTCATTAGAAGCTTTCTTCTTTTCATTTCCTCATTAAATTTCAAGAGATGATGCATTACATAGCTGTGATACCCATCAACATCCAGCTTGAGTCAAAAAACAGCTTAAGTGTCACTAAGTCTACATCGGGCGGTATTCTTGTTTGTTTATCACTTAGCCATTGCAGTTAGCTCATTTTTTTTTTGTGCACTGCAGAAAAATCCTTCAATGTCAACTTGAAGCCAGGCGCTTCACTTTCACCTTCACACTTACTTTTTCAAATATTTTGGTGTAATAATGTGTTTTGTGACACTCCGTGGCCTCCAGAGGTTTCAGTGTTTGTAAGAAATGCGCAATACTAAAAAACCTTGCACGAAGAAAAGAAGAGGGGAGTGGAAGGAAGGTGAGCTGCTGCTGAATGTATTGGAAGACAGGATGCAGTTGTCAGTGGCGAATCCATTTGCAAACTTTATGTCCATGTGTATTTCACTGAGATGTATATTCTTGCCATTTTAACATGATGGAGGCTCTAGATTGAAGGTGCTAGAGGTTGTCCAGAATGAAATCTATTCATCATCCAGGGACAATTCAGGGAGCTTCTCTTCATAATTTAAATATTGACTGTGTACTGTGGGAAATGGTGTATGTCTCCATTTATATAGTGATATTATCCTGTCTGTGTCTTGTTCACAAGCACACACTGGTGGCAGGAATCTACCAGGCACGGTGCTTTCCTGACCACTGCGACCAATTAGGAGTTTAGCCTCTTGTCCAAGGTCACTTTGACAGGTGGACAGAAGGAGCTTGGGATTGAACCGTTATACCACATCCACCTAAGTGGAAATCTTCAGTTCTGGCAAAAGGGCTCGTATACTGTGGCTACAGCAAATATCCACATCACATTTCATGTAAATTAGGGCAGAGGTCATTTTGGCACCGTGTTGAATATTCATGCCAGATCCTGCTGATGTTAGTGCTGGTGGTGTGACACAGACATATGTGCCTATAACTTGTTCATCTATACAACTAAAGAGGATAATGAAGGCTGTGAATATGACATTGGGATTTCAAAGCTTGTTTTTTTTCCACAGAATGTTTAGTGCATATCATTGCATGTTCATTTAAGTGCTAATTAACAAAAGTTAGAACGGATGCAATGTCAGCCTTGGGTATTTCACAATGTTTTACTGATATTATGGAGAAACATTTCTTGCATATTAGTATATTCTCATGGAATTCATGAGCAGCTTTTTAAGACTCGGGAGTGGCCTAGAGCTGGAGTCTGGTTGGTTAGAGCTTCGGGAAGATCATTGTACCTCGTTCACTTCCTTTGCCACAATTTCCCTCGCTGATTCAGTCTTGCAGTTCTACAACTTTTAGGTGACAGTCTAACAATTAAGCTACCGCCGCCCAAAATGTCCTTAAGCAGTGTCACTTTGAAAATGCATCTGTCCTACTTTCCAGAAGCTAAAATTAGAGGGAAATGTGCATTTGCTACCCGTTTGAAGTTAAAAAAAGAAAAAAAAAAAGAAAAACTTATTTCCTTTTTCCTATTAGATCCCTCGTGGAGGACGACGACGCTCACATGAAAGTTGCTCTGGGCTATGGTGATATGGGCATCTCTGCTCACCTTCAGGCATCAAAGACTGGAAACACTCGATTTTTCACAAGCAACACGCACAGCTCAGTGGTTCTTCAGGTGAGAGTGCAGAAACATAGAGAAAACAAAGTGTAGAGTCAAATATCACCTTCGTCTGATAATAACATTAATGTTTGGCCTTACCATTTCTTTGGCGATCTCGTGAGTAGTTTCTATAGCTCTGCTCACAGGTGTTTGCAGATTGCAGGCCAGCAAGATGTTGAATATTTGTTTTAATTGGATTTCTTTGAAGATTAAAAACTGTTAACATTGCGGTATCACACAACATAAGGGAATTGATACCATGGATTCCTGGGCACAGTTTAATATCTCGTCTCGTGTTTCAGTAATAATCCAAAACAGTTGGGATTTGGTGTCTATGTAATTTGATGTAAGGGGTGAGCGCAACCTGATTTACTGTTGATGAAAAATATAACAAAAGCTCACTCATCTTGTACATACACAACCGCCCCCCCCCCCCCCCCCCCCCCCCCCAAAAAAAAAAAAAAAAAAGTCAGGAAGCTGCATAAATGTTACAGTTGGTGGCAGCTTTGGCATGTCACCGCTGATTGGTGCAAAGTGAAGATCAGCCTAAAGTTGTGCAAGTGAGTGCTGGCATCATGCTGTTTGCTGCAACAGCAATAACTGTCCTTCGTCATCGGCTCTCACTGAAAATGAATGGCCGTTGGCTGCTTTTGCAGCTCATTAATCTTTTGCTGCCACAGCACAGTAAGGGAATGCTAATGATTTTTCTAGCCTGATGTGATCGTACACCCTGATTATAGAATCTGTTAGTCTCAATTAGGTGGTGCATTTGGAAGCATCCACCAAAAAACCCGCCCACTGATTATTGCAGGGGTTGTGAGTCGGTATGTGTTATACAGGTTTTTTTTTTTTTTTTGCTTAATTCAATTTCGTTTTATTAAATAGCGCCAAATCACAGTAACTGTCGCCTCAAGGCGGTTTTTGGCTTGCACATTCTTAGTGCAACCCGCCATAACCATAATCAGAAGTGGTAGTCAGCTGGTAGGTTGTGAAATCAGGCGTTGGGTGAATAAGTGCAATATCCACTTATGAATTAAAGTGTGTTCGCCCATGTTTAGTGTAGGTAGTGCCTTTTAGCTGTAACTTTGCATCAGGTTTCTATGCCAACAAGAGAAAAAAATCCCTGTAATTCTAAACATGTCACTTTGAACCAGTTGTGCGTAAGAAAGCCAAGAAAATATGAAGGCAACAATCAAGTCGGTCAGCTCCAGCTCAAGACTAGAGTGCTGTCACGTATCATTTCAGGTCCATGAGCTCATGTCTGACAGGCCGTTGCTGACGGCATTTTGTTTTTATCCTCACTGAACCATACAAGTTCATTGTGTTGAGCCCTAAAGCAGTGACTGCTTTTTCCTTTTTTGGCAGCAGCCGTATTTGAAAGTTTTAGTATTGATGTTTTTCATCAGGCTTTGTCTAAGCCGAGATCTTCTTCTTGGGAGTAAAATCAGAGCTGTTCAGGTGCTCTAAGCTCAGGGTCAGCAACAAACATCTCTCTCTTTCATGTTTTTTTTTTTTTTTTTTCTCTTTAAGGGATTTGACCAGCTGAGGATAGAGGGATTGCTCTGTGATGTCACATTGGTGGCTGGCGACTGTGATGAAGCTTTTCCTGTGCACCGTGCAATGATGGCCTCCTCCTCCGACTATTTCAAAGCCATGTTCACAGGTTGGTCTACAAGCCCTTACTCCAGCCAAACCACGATGTAGAATTTTGTGATATTTGTGACAGTGGCACAGGCATTTAAGTACTCTATATCTCTGTATTTTCCACTAAATTGCTTTCTTTTCATGAGGATTTCTGTTTCTACACAGTGGCAGTCATGTTGCTAGAATTTTGCATTGTGAATAAATTACTCAAATTGACCTTGTGCCCTCATCCCTCCAGTACTGAGCATATATTCATATTATAAAACCAGCTTGTTTGAGCCATTGTTATGCATTCATGTTCATGGTCATTTGTGCTGGCAATGAATATAAATGACCTACTTGCCTGTTTCATCTCCTTTGTGCACTGTATGCAGAGACAGAAGAACCTTGAGCTCTTTTTAAGTACATAGAGAGTGTTTGTGTGGTATTTTCAGGAATAACAGACTGCAAAAAATTTTCTTCGTTCACTTTCGGATAACAAAGATATCTGGGTAATTAAACTGAAAGCTTTTAATCTGACGCAGGGAAAACGAGTAGCACAGATGTTGTCAGAGAACGCAACCTTACTGCACTGAATTTATCTTGTATTAACCCGTAGGTGTTTACTTTCATGACTCAAGCTTTGATGGGCAACTTGTCATCAAGTAACATTACGTTCTATATGATGAGCAGTGCACATGAATTTCTTTTTCTTTGTTTGGTCCAGATTAGCTTGCGAAATATAACGGAACAGAGGAAAGCTTTTTGTTTTGTCTTATTTTACTAATGAGTTAGCTTAGGGCTGTGCGATATGACCAAAATCTCATATCCCGATATAAGAATTCTATTGTCTGATAACGATATAAATCACAAAAATGTAACATTTTCTGTAAATTCTGTGAATCTCGGGCAGCTCGACTTGCAGAAAGTGTTTCCAGCTGCGGGTCATGTAGCTGGAGTCTATACAAACTATACATTTTTAGACATAAGTTGTAAAGGCCGCCGTTTTTTTTTTGTGAGTATTTATTACACGGTGTGCTGCGGGGGAAAACCTGTTCTAACGGTTGAGTCCAAGGTTTATTTTTTAGCACCTGGCGGCTCTTTTTTTAATTCTCATCCGTAAATAATCTGCTCTTTCACGTGATTCAGTTTATTTTGAAAAGTCTCAACAGGATCTTGAGCTTTATTGTGAAAGATTTATGTGGAACATAAACAAGCAGACACGTGAAGGTGTTACCGTCGCTGTTGCTAAAATAAATGCATAAAAACAGGCGCTTGTCCATCTGTAGTGTGGTTGTGTGGTTATATAAAATATAAGAGAAAGAGAGAACTTTTAAGAAATTAATATAGCCACTACAGTGACCATCAAAACGATGAAAAAATATTGCCGTAAACAGTTTATTTTGCGACACCACGAAACAAACGATAGCGTAAAATGAAACGATAGATGTTTTTAAATCGTCATCCGATATATATTGTTATATCGAACAGCCTTAAGTTAGCTTATTAGTGAAAAGGGAATGCTCTGAGTGTAAATGTTGAACAAAAGTGCTCCCTTATGCTTACTATTCTTGGTGACATAAGTCATTTGACTGTAAAAACATTGGTATTGACATTTGCATCTACGTGACGTGTGCATATATTAGCTTTTATTCTTTTGAATAAAAAAAACTATCTGAGTTGAACCATATAAAGATACTATATGTTCAGTTAGTTTCTTCTTTCCCTTACTCTCCTCTGGTGCAGGTGGAATGAAAGAACAGGATTTAATGTGTATCAAGCTGCATGGAGTAAACCGAATAGGCCTCAAGAAGATTATTGACTTTATCTACACGGCAAAGTTGTCACTCAACATGGAGAATCTGCAAGACACACTTGAGGCAGCCAGCTTCTTACAAATCCTTCCAGTGCTGGACTTTTGCAAGGTCTTTCTCATCTCTGGGGTAAGGAAATTCTCACAAAAGTTGTGTTTTTACAGCTATCCTGCAGCTTTTAAGTTAGCTTATTGTCTGAATTAACTGGATATAAAATTTGAAACTTTTTTTCATAAACATTGTGTCATTTTAAACAAATTCCATCTAATCCACAAGTACAAGCTGCAATAGTTGCACACTCTTACTATTTGCACATCCTCTACAGAGAAAATAGCAAAGTAGAGTATGACAAGAGGGCCACCTCAATGCCAACCACATATATTCAATTTGTGTAATGTACTTGGATATTTATGATTTCAAAATATTGTATCTATTAGAGCTGTTTTGTTATATTTTCTAACTTTGTAATTTAATTTAATTTAATATATTTTAGTTTAGTTACTATTCTTGGTGTCTTTGACTGTGACCACATCATTTCATCAGGGATTAAAAAAGTATCTTGATTCTGAATATTTTGGATTTGAACTGGTGGGAAAGTTGTGAGAGCATGCCTGTGAGACAGGGTAAGAGCAAAAAACCAAAGACTTATTTTAAATGAAGAAAAAGTACGTTTGAAGAACAATTTTGTTTACGGGTTGTGCTTGTTGTACAGAGTCAAGAGAAATCAGCTTTTAATTATAATTTCAACTGTTAATATGTCTGCCTGCTTTCATTAGCTAAAGTTATCATGCAGTGACTATTAATGCTGACAGCAAAGTGTTTAAAAATGTATGTACTTGTTTTTTCTTTAATGCAGTGCATCAATCTGTTTTTACTGATAAATTTATCAAGGTGTATTAAAGCTGGTTTTCTTGCCAACTGTCTGAAAACCCACGTTTTTTAAATTTAAAGTGATATAAAATGGACAAAAGCAGCAGAGTCAGTTGACATCTGCTGTGTGTTAAATTGCTAAAGCACTGATTCTTTGTAATGAGACTTCTTTCCCTTGAGCTGAGAATTAGTCAATATCATAGCATATTCTTTCATTTATGTTTCATTCACTGGGACTTGAAACTAGCAAAAGGCCCGTAAATTCACAGAGCAAGGGACTGAGGACATTTTTCCATAGATTTCTATACAACTAAAGGAATGACCAATTGTAGGCCAAGAGTTTGTTTTACTTTCCAAGGGCTGTAAGCTACATCCATCCTTTTCTTTTCACGCTTACTTGCAGCTTTCCAAGATTTTTTACTTGTTTTTTTTTTCTGTCAAGGTTTCTCTGGACAACTGTGTAGAAGTGGGACGCATTGCCAACACATACAACCTCACAGAGGTGGATAAATACGTCAACAATTTCATCCTGAAGAACTTTCCCTCATTGCTGGGCACGGGGGAGTTTGTCAAGCTACCATTTGAACGCTTGGCTTTTGTACTGTCCAGTAACAGCTTAAAACACTGCACTGAGTTGGACCTGTTCAAGGCGGCTTGCCGCTGGCTACGCTTTGAAGACAGCCGTATGGACTATGCCCCAAAGCTCATGAAGAACATCCGCTTTCCTCTCATGAACCCGCAGGATCTCATCAATCACGTGCAGACTGTGGACTTTATGCGTACGGACAACACCTGTGTCAACCTTCTCCTGGAAGCTAGCAACTACCAAATGATGCCCTACATGCAGCCAGTTATGCAGTCAGAACGGACAGCCATCCGCTCAGACAGTGCCCACCTGGTCACTCTGGGTGGTGTTCTGCGCCAGCAGCTTGTTGTGAGCAAGGAGCTGCGTCTCTTTGATGAGAGGGCTCACGAATGGAAGGCGCTGGCGCCCATGGACGCACCTCGTTACCAACACGGCATTGCGGTCATCGGCAACTTTCTCTATGTTGTGGGTGGCCAAAGCAACTACGACACCAAAGGCAAAACAGCAGTGGACACGGTGTTCCGATATGACCCTCGCTACAACAAATGGATCCAGGTGGCATGCCTTAATGAGAAACGTACCTTCTTCCACCTCAGTGCACTCAAGGGACACCTCTACGCTGTCGGTGGAAGGAATGCTGCAGGGGAGCTTGGTGAGTTTATTTCCCCCACTTGTTTGCTTTTGTTTCCTTTTAAGCAACAACAGGGGCCTTTAATTAATATTGTATGAGATTTTACACTTTTAATATGAGAGAGCAGTGTGAGAAAGAATGAGCGCTTTAATAAGGCTGCAAGCATACCGACGCCAAGTAATCAAGAGCCGTGCATACACATCATTTGCTGTTTCAACATGTCGCACACATAATGTGTGTGTAATTTAATAAAATTTAGAGGATGGGCACATTATCACAAACACCCTCCCAATCGAATGTAATCCATTACAAAAGCATTTCAGCACATGCAGAATCAATTTCAGTCATCGCAGCCTCAGAGAAGTGTCATGGTTTTTGATGAGGTGTTGTTTAGGGTGTCATAATATATCATGAATAAAATAAGTTTAGATTTTTTTCTCTCTCCGTGTAATAAATTGCAGTGCAATACAACAAAGCCACAGCCTACGCTGATGCAGTCTTAACAAAGTCACAGTGTTTCTATTTGTTCAGAGCTGTGGTAGGTACATAACATTGAACTGTAGGTGATGAGATACAGCTGAAGTTGGCACACAAACTGTGCCTGCAGGGAGGATTAAATAAAGAGGTGGATACATGTTGCCAGTGGCGTTTTCAGTGATTAAAAAGGGAAGAAAAAAAAAAAAAGCGGGTCATATCAGATCAACTTGTATCAGTAATCTGATGCTTTTACAAGCTTTTTGGTTCACATTTCATCCCTCTGGTGGAAAGACGAAAAGCCAACAGATGTATTTATACATTTATATCTAGTCTTTGTAATTTGGTTGTTGATGCTGAGTAACCAATCTGCAATCTCTGCACCAACTGTAGACCACAGAGAGGTGCCACCCAGTACTTAAATTCAGCTCTGTAGCTGCAGTGGACAGAGAGAGGCTACTGTGGAAGCAGTCTGGGTTATAATTAGACCAAAAAACACAGCACCAGTTCACTGTCAGTCTACACAGCTGCCTCTTCCTTCTTTACGTTTCACTGCCCTTTAACTGCATGCGGTTAGGCCTCCATGTTTTTCTGGATGTGCCCCTTTTATTATATTTGTTTGCTCTGGGTAGATCACGAGGGTGTGGTTTTTCTGTTACGTCAGAAATGCCTAGATTTTAAAAGAAAATCTTCACGACATAGAAACGAATATTTAGAATATACTTGCAGACCTGAGTGTTGCATGGATTTTAGTTTTGTGCTGCTTTTATATTTTCAAAAGGATGTAACAAAGATGCACGTACTTACTAATTCTAGTTCACCATGTTGTAAACCCTTTTATAGCTCTTGCACAATAACAGCTCAGTCTTTTAATATAAAAATAAGACTGCATCAGGCACCTATATATGCTTTAATTGAAAAAGAAGCAAAATGTACAGGTCTCGCTGTATGTCACCACAAGCTGCCAGTTTTTAAAATTATTATTCTATTTTCTATTTTCTATTTCTATTGTTGTGGTGAAGAACTTGTAGAAAGAAAAAAAATCCATGCTAATTACAAATGTGACCTTTCCAGCTTACAGAAGAAAATCATACATTGAATACATTTCAAGGTTTAAATGCAATTTATAATTTCTTTATTGAGAAGTTGCTTGTGATGAATTCCATTTTCAGCAACTTTGCAGTTTAGATACGGTCAGCACAACTGTGCTATTTCCATCAAGTTGGTGTGAGAGTTTGTATACTGCTGAAGGTCACTTTGATAATAGTCGTTGAGCAAGCAGACCTAGGTATCCACTGATTTCCTTGGTGAGACTTATCCAGCTGGTCCAGAGGTGACTCACAATCCTTGTGAGGGAACATTGGATTACCAGGATTTCTAAACTTATTGATGATACATTTAAATTTGTTCTGACTCATTTATGAAGAAACACAATGTGAGTGAACTAATAACACAATGGTTTAATCATTTACAGTGCAGGCTGGAAAAGACCGGCTCCTGAGCTGAGTAACTAACAGGAGCTCCTCTATAACCCCATATACTTCAGTGGCTTATGAGTCTTGTAAAATGAGGAGGAATTTTGAAGGACTGCACTAAACAAAAATCTTTATCTATTTCTATAATGATATGATTGAACAAAACTCACAAGCTTATACTATTCAGACTATAAAAGCTGTTGTGACGCTGATTTTCTTGTGAGCTTGGGTTTATTGTTTTCTCTCATCACCGAGCGTTCTCAAAGCTTCAGGGAATGCACTGCTGCCCTGGAAATTTCTTCATTGAAATTTAGCAGTGCGACAGACTGGCGACCTGTCCAGGGTGTACCCTGCCTCTCACCCTAAGACAGCTGGGATAGGCTCCAGCCCTCCAGCCCCCCCCCCCCCCCCCCCCCCCCCCGCCACCCTGAAAAAGGATAAGCAGAAGCGAATGGATGGATGGATGGAAATTTTGAATTCATTCTTCCCTACACTATTGTAAGGCACCCAGGCCTCAGGTAGCAAAGCATCCCTGAATAATGATACCACCTCCACTATGCCTTACAGCTTTGGTGTTTGTTTCAGGAATGAAAAGAGTTTAAGCAGGTTGTAGAGATTCGTTTTGCAGGTAACGTTGGGCTCATTTCCACCGTTTCTATTGGGATGTACTCTGTATTTAAGTCTGTTTGTGCTTAACTGTCTCAGTTGTAATTTTTGCAGGTAGCTGCTTCTGGAAAGTGGAGCAACAGTCCTGATTGTTCAGAATTTTTCCTCACTCATGTCTTTAGAAATACCTGTGTAGCCTTTCCCAGCTCAGTGTACTCCTGTAGCACTCTTCTGAGGTTCTGTGAAAGTTCATTGAAGCATGTTTATGGGGATTGGCTCATCTACAACCTACATTTCCAGACTCCGTAATTGGAGCACCTCACTTCAAATACTTTCTTCAGCAAGTTCAATCCAGAAATGTCGAAAACTGGATCCCAGATATAGTGAACGCAGAAATGATGAAACAGATCAGCCACTGGTGAAACCCATTTTATTTGCCAGGAAGCCTGGAGCAAGTCAACAGGGGAATTATGGGACTGTAACCCATAATAAATGGAGAAATTCTGGTAATTCTTAGTAGTTCACAAATCTTTGTCATAAATGTTAACAAGCTCTAGTGAAATGGAAACGTGTGATTCTGCATTGTTAAACTGTGGTGTTTGATGTGAAGGTAAATCATTACCCTTCTCCATCAATGCAGTGATCATACATGTTGATGGACCCTGGCTGGCTGGCTGGTTTTGGGGTTCCCAGCCAGCAATTATCAGCCTGTGAGCATCTGATATGAACCCTAAGGTCCCCTTTCTGATTTCTCTGATATTTTATAGAACCATCAGACACCTTAAGATGAAAGCTCGAACAATCTCACTATTTCCTGCACAGTCAGTGCATTCAGAGCTGGTGGGGATGTGTACTCTCTATTTAAATCCTTGTTTTAGCTCCCACGCTGAGACCCTCCAAGGCCTCATTTGCTGCTGTTTGTCCTCCTTAGTTGTGTCTTGACCTACTTTCTACTAATACAGTCTTTTTTTTCTCTTTTTTTCATCTGTTTCTTCAAGCTACTGTGGAGTGCTACAACCCAAGGACAAATGAATGGACATACGTTGCCAAAATGAATGAGCCACATTATGGCCACGCTGGGACGGTGTACGGTGGTTATATGTATATTTCAGGTAAGTGGCTCCAGGGAGTTTTGAGTTTATTATCGGCTTAAATAAATAGAGATGTAATGTTGCATGACTGGGTAAGAGTTGTTTTTTTTAATTGCATGTTTTAAAGTTACAATAGCAATAAACTTTATTCTCTGAATGTGTTATAGAACTGCAAGGTGGGGTCACAATAGTATCTCATTTTAGACAAACCGTACATAGAGTTCTGGAGTTATATGTGAGTCAGGATTTTTCTGACAGCCTGTTAATGCTAGGTGTTTTTATCTTTCAAACTTCATATAAAGAAAGTGTCTTTCACACTTCCAGACTTTTGCAAATCTTTCCTCACACTTTATTCATCTATGCTGAGCATGCTTTTGGAGCCTGCGAGGGTTCAACACTTAGGGCAGATGGCGGACACTGAGAATTGGGCCTTCAGCCAGCCAGTACTTTCTCTTTAGGTGACACCTGGGCACTTGTTCACTTAATACGACGGAAAACAAATCCTGCAGTATGGAGATGAGCCCTAGTTTCTTAGTGTGACTAATCCAGAGAGGTGCTACAAAAGATGGGGAACGGTGGTGGTGGTGGAGGGGGATTGGGAAGGATGGAGCAAAGTAGAGGACTAGAGCCTGTGTAGGAGGTGTAACACAGAAGAGACTGTAATAATCCCTCCTGGCCATGGGTACTATGATCCATCTGCAACACATGAGCAAAAAAATTGTTTTATGCAAAAATATTTTAAAAAATAGATAATGGTTTTCAGCATTGTTTTTTTTTTTAATATATATATATATAGAAGGGGAGATAGAAGTAACAATCAGAATGGAAATGGTGTTGGTATTTTGATCCTTTAATCCTCCTGAATATGAATACATTATGAACACCAACACTTACATAGTTGCATTAAACGCATATTGTACTTACAGTGCCACCTGGGAAACTTTAGCTAATGAAAATAAAATATTGAAATGCTCTCTAGCAGCAATATACTAGCAGCAGTATTAAACCAATTTACAGTCTGAGGTGTTGACCAGCTTGCATGCAGTTTTATTAGATCCAGCAGTGTGATCACTGTGCACACAAGCCGTGAATTCAATCCACAGACCTGCAAATGTTTGCCGGTGTTAGATGGTCCTACAGAAGGCACCTCACATTCTCTATCACATTGGTTCCAGTTATCTTTCATGTTTAGCTGGAAAAAATTGCCACATTAAAAGTACATGCAGCCCCTTTGATTTGATTTTTATATCACCGAACTCTGACGTGCTGGAAAGAGGCCAAAAGCTAAGGACTACCTCCACACATGAGTACTATCAGGGTTTATATAAACAATTTTTAATTAGTTAATATTTCACATTATCAGGGAGAAGAACTGGGGCATGTTTGGGATCACACAGATCACAAGATTTGGCAGACCTAATATTAGAGTGGAGCCGAGATGAAAGCCACACATTTTACTTTTTAATATAACTAAAGTGAAATGATGAATAACAAAACGGTCACGGCCTGAGCTAATCTGCTGGTAGCCAGCTGTATGAATCGCTTCGCCCCTGGCAGTACTTTCCACTTCGTAGCGTTTATTTCCACTTTTTGATAGTCTAATGGCTTATCCTTTGTGTGTGTGTGTGTGTACGTTTGTGTGTTGGTCTCATGCTTCAGAGATACAATCAATCACAGTTCAGCAGTCTTGTAAATTCTGCTATTGTAACAGCTGGCTGTGCACCTGTGACAGCTGAAAATATGTGTCAGGGAAAATGAACGCTTGCGTTACACGATCAAGCTGGTCAGGCAGTGGTCAGGCAGTTTTCTGAGTACAGCTGTGGGTTATAACACAACAGCGTGTTTTCAAGTGCCTTTAATGCCCACGGCACAGGTAAAAGAGCATTACCCATTAGTGCAGTTTTGTTCCGGCGAGTCCCTGCTGTAGCGTCCGCGGTCTCAGAGGTTACAGTCGCGCTGTGCAAGGTGACCCGAGCTAGAGTGCACTTCTGTGTCTAGCTGTCACAGTACATCAGGTCACATTCTCCGGCTGTGCTGCTGCGCTGTCTGAAGGTATTCTGTCAGCTGGATGAGCCTGACGAATGCACTCAGCCCACAGACCATCACGGCTCAAGTGGTGTGACAGAGTTCAGACACAAGCACTGAAAACGGCACAGAGCAACGCTGCTGCTGGTCCACATTCCTGTCGAGAGATTAAGACCCTTTGGTTTTACTATTACACTTTTTCCGAGTGTTCTGATGATTTGTGTGTGATTGTTGCTTCACTGACTGGGGATTTTTGAGGTTTTCACAACTCGCTAGTTGTCTGCTAATGGTGTTTTTATGTAAAGAAAAAAATGTTGATGTAAATCTCATGGTTGAGATTTTTATTTTTATTTTTTTTCCTCCATTAAAGATGATTATATTTGATCATTTTATATTTTAAAAATCTAAAGTACTCTCCGCTTTAATTCATCTATGCTGAACATGCATTTAATGTCAGTGAGAGCTGACAGTAATCTCAAATGGATATGGTTCTGTACTGCAAACCTTCTTTCTTCAGGTTACTTTGAAAAGTGAGAAGAGGGTAAAAATTGGAGCTCAAGATTTTTCATTTTCTTTCATCATCCCTTTCTAGCCTCTTTATTTTAATGTCAGTGTCTATTTATTTTAAACCGTCTCGCAGTAAAACTGATCAATATATGGACGTGCTTCCTTCAGATCAGGATATTTTCTGGTGTAAAAATCTGCTGGGCTGAATGTGCTTTTTGATTCTTAGCTTACATGTGTGTTTATATTTAATTTCTTTGCATTAATAGTGACATTTCTGCACTAAGCTTGTACTGGCCTGCAGAGTTGTTTGGATAAATTGAAATAGTTGAAAGTGGTCATTTGAAAGATGGTTAAGAAAGATTCCTTTTCATATTTTTTCTTATTTCTGACAGTCTGCTAGGTATTTGTATGTTTGAACTCGCTACATCATTTAAAAACACTGTCTTTCACACTTACAGATTTATGCTAATCATTCCTCACACCTTTGATTCATCTGTGCTGAACATGCATTTGAAGTCTGTTTGGGCTCAGTGCAGAGAACTGACGGTGCTCACGAATATTAGGTTTCCAAATGGTGATGTCCTGTGATGGCTCCACATTGAATCATATGAAATGTTGGTCGTATTGACATAGTTGCTGCTCTCGTGATATAATGGAGGTGTTGGTTAAGACGGTTACAGCGTAGCTCCTCTGCCTTTTTTGTGTGGAGTTATGAAGTGAATTTAAAAAATAAGGGGCTTCTGCTTAAAACCTTAAGAGAAAGTGTGTTGAATTTCATTGTATGACTTAAAACCCAGAAGTGATGACCCATAATGGCTCATAACTGTCTGAAATTTCAATTTGCTGCTCACCTCAAGAGTAAATAACTGTCTATTTTATCAGGAATAGTGAATAGAGGGAACAGGGGAGCCATTTAGAGCTCATATTCCTGCAGGGACTAATAGTCAGAGTGAGATGTCATACGGCTGTAAAATGAACTTGACAGTACGACTTCAAGAGGGTGATTATGCTCAATGGAGAAACGCAAGTGACTGAAAGTATTTTGCATGACACAGAGGCCATAAATGCAAACCTCTCCATTCTTCAAGCCACTCTGAAAAGTGAGAAGAAAGTAAAAACTGGTTTCATCAAGCCTGCGCTGCCTTTTGTATGTTAATGTCAGTCTACATATATTTTAAACCACTCTGCAGTAACGCTAATCAATACATGGATACATAGATCGTTACATATGGGCTCTCTAACTCATTATGGGGTATTTTTGGAATCTGCTAAGCCCCCTCCCCACCTCCCCGTCTATTTCACATCATTTCTGTGAGTCCCACATATGTTGGCACTGATTCAACCAGGTTGCTGGTTTTACAAGGGGACTCTGCAGTTGTTTTATATCTGCATGGCTGAGCAGGGAAATGTTTTGGCGTGGTAAAACAAGGGCATATGTAGCAGACATTATGAACAATATCGCAGTCTGCCCTAAGGTGCCTATGGAAGGGCAAAAGCTCCTCGGCAAGTTTGTCAGAGCTGGGATCAATTTGGCAAAATCTTGTCTGCTCTTAGTGTCTCTCTAATGGCGCTGATTAGACAAAGATACTGGAAAACTGATCAGACATTATTGTATTAGGGAAAGGCCAAAGCTATTGAACTGAATCAAAATAGCAGCACACTCCCTTGAGAGGTATTACAAGGAGGCTATTTTGACTCCAGCACTGTTCTCTTGTCAGGGTTTTAATAGCTGATTTGCTCCGTGGACTACTTGGATAAGGAAAACGGATGGTGAGGCCATCTTTGAACCTGATCAGCTAAGGGGTTGCTCCATCAGAGATCTGAGTCATGGCAGCTGAATAGACGGCTTAGGCCTGAACAATAAACCGAGCGCACGATCACTGGGCAGCAAGAAAAGAGGGTTACTGCCTGTATTCGGCGTGCTCTGCAAATCTTCACTGGATTTGCTCCTAGTCAATCTGCCTGGGGGGGAGGGGTAGGCTGGCTTCCACCCAAATGCATGCTGGGATTGTGTTCCTCTTTATTTTAAGCCTTCCCTGTAGACATGTCCTGTTTTTTTGTTTTTTTTTTGGTTGTGTTTTTTTCCCTCCTTCCCCACTTTCCCTCAGCATTGTGTGTTGCGGTGTCTACAGACTGTTTGCGTGAATGCGCGTGCATGCGTGGACGCTTTGTAATGGTGTTCCACTTTGTACTGAGCGCTCCTCATCAGCATTATTTCATGTTGTGGAAAAGAGGCTGAAAAGCTATTGATGTCACCTCGGTTTGTGAAATCAGTGTTTAGCCTGCAAATTGGCGGATGGGTTCGAGTGAAGGTGTGGAAAAAGGGGATCAAAGAGAAGTCAGAGGTCTTTTTTTTTTGTTTTTGTTTGTTTTTTTGTTTTTTTTTTAATGTGCGGCCTTCCAGCGTCAGAGCTGGCTGATGCTCCACATTGCCCAGATGAATAAAAAGGTTGGCTGACTTGAGCGAACGAGTCATTAATCTGTCTGAGTGACAGCTTCTCCCAACTAATGAGCCTTGAGCCCTAATTTCCATGATCTTGTTTCATTTTATATTTTTTTTCTTGCTGCAGGTGGAATCACTCACGACACTTTTCAGAAGGAGCTGATGTGCTTTGACCCGGATGCCGATAAATGGACTCAGAAAGCGCCCATGACGACAGTTCGCGGCCTCCACTGCATGTGCACGGTGGGCGACCGTCTTTACGTGATCGGAGGCAATCATTTCAGGGGCACCAGCGACTACGACGACGTCCTCAGCTGCGAATACTACTCCCCCGCCCTCGACTTGTGGACACCTATCGCCGCCATGTTGCGAGGTCAGAGCGACGTGGGCGTGGCCGTGTTTGAGAATAAGATTTACGTGGTGGGCGGCTACTCGTGGAACAATAGGTGCATGGTGGAAATAGTACAGAAGTACGACCCCGAGAAAGACGAATGGCACAAAGTTTTCGACTTGCCCGAGTCACTGGGGGGGATCCGAGCCTGCACACTCACAGTTTTCCCCCCTGATGATATGTCGGGCTCACCCTCCAGAGAGTCGCCGCTTTCAGCACCTTGATGAGCAAAGGGGGTGAGCCCTACTCCGCTCATACCCCCGTAACCCTTCCCCACCCCCCGACAGCCCCCCTCAACAAACACACCTTATAGACTTTGTTTGCACTTCCTTTATGGACAACATCTGTACTGCATCCCAAATTACCCCCCCAAGTCCACATCCCCTAAAGCTGTGCAGAACCCCGCCTCCCACATCTGCGTGATGAAACCTACATACCAACATGGTTTGGCAACCTAATTACATGTTAATTTTGCATACTTGGTATATTTTGGCAGGAAAAAAAACAACAACAACAAAAAAAACAACCTCCACTTGAAAAGTGACTTTGCAAATCAACTTTTCTACCTGATGTCCAGACTTTTCTTATGTCTCGTTTCTTTTGGTGTTCTACCTTGAGATGTTGACTACCACACTGACTCTCTCTTCTAGTCTATGCCAGGTTAGATGCAGGTGACGCCCTCCTCAGACAGCAAACGCATAGGGACCGATGAGCTTTTGAAAGACAAGTGGTTTTTAACTCAGGGGTTGGCCCAGGCCCCATCTTCGTCTCTCTTGCAGTTTCACTTCTTTCCTGCTGTTGGTATGAAACTGTTAACAAAAATGGTGTTTTCTAAATTTAATAAACATAATTTTGAAAGTAATCAAATATTGTCCTCTTCACTGGCTACAGCTTGAAGTTGCACGTATCCAGGTCGTATTTTGATGTCTGAGTGAATCTAAAATCTCTTATACAGGATTCATGATCATTAATCAGCTGAGAGAGAGTTGGCTTCCTTTGTTGCTTTGTAAACTTGTCTGTAATGAATGAGCTGTGAATGACGTGAAGGAAAAGATCAATCAGTCTGTTTGTGGGGAACGATGACTTCGCTTTTATACTGCGGAGCTGGACTGTATGCAGTAAAGGATAACCGCAGACATAGAGTGTGATTTTTCTTTTTAGAGCCACGCTGTTGAAGCACTGTCCACCCAGTGATGCAAACTACACTGCTGACAAGTGTTAACTGGAATTTGGCAATTCCACCGCTGTCACCTCTTCTCCTGCCATCATGACAGACGGTAATGTCGCCCACAATCTGCCCACCTGCTCCCGGATCATTAAAGCCTTAATAGCAGCATATGGTGTCCGAGACGTCGGCTTCAAGCTGTTACTAGGAACAAAAGGTTTGTGTAATCATCAGGTGAGTTGGCTCCAGAGCTTTAAATCCTCATTATAGTCCCATTATGTCCCTTTAATGAGATGCTGCAATGGTGCTTGAGATTTGAGATTTTAATGCCTGTTTCTGTGTTTTCCAGAGCAATAATCTACTATAGGTCTGTCTTTTAATTAGATTGTTTTAACATGTTATGAATTGATATGCGTTTGTGCCTTTTTTTAATGTTTCATTTTGAGGCTCTTATGTGCTAAACGGGTCAGTCTTGTTTCATTAGCTACATTTTAGCTTGGTCGTGTTTTTTTGAGGGTTATGTTAATGTCACACGTCAAAAAGCTTTTTTTTTTTTTTTTTTTTTTAAAGAGTCTTATTATGAAGTCCTTTTTAAATGTAACAGTCTGCATCATTCATCTAGTTTTAAAAATAGGCACTTTGTAATCATTTTAATGGAAAGCCACTGAATACACAGAGGAGCAAAACGTGATGCGCACAGCTGCTAGATGAGGTTGCAGGAGTAGGACTTCAGTGCCGTTGTTGCCTGGACATTTAACTGAAAATAACCCTTACACTGGTTACCATTTACCCTGTGGATCCGCTGAATATGAGAGAAGTAATGAGAGCAAAGAGAAGAGGATGGAGGTAGAAAGTAGTAAGATAATTTGATAACCGCTTCAGTTAGCATGCTGGGAAAAAGGGTGATTATTTAGACTGAGAGACTCTTTAAGGCTAATAACCTAATCCACCTCCTATCGTGTAAAGTTTGATTGCTAAGAAACATTTTCTGCTAATTGAATATGTCCCTGATATAACGAGTTTATGTAAGTTTGTCAGCTAAAGAATCTTTCTTTTAGTTGTTATGCTGTGGTACTTTTCTTTTTATTATGCTTGCAGTCTTAGCCAGTCGGAGCAAATAACTGAAAGTATAAAGGCAAAGAATTTTCAAGCCATGCTGATGCTGGACTTTATTATCTGTATATTCTAGCAACTGGTAATTCACTCGGTGTAAATGGTAAAATAATTTCTTCTGGATCAGAATTATTATAGTTTTATTTTTTTTATTTCCTAATTAGTTTTGGTTTTTAATTAATTGTAGTTTCTTGAGTGGATCTTCCCATTTCAGTTTTGTTTGTATTGTTTGAAATGGTTTAGTTTTAGTTTCTAGTTTTTAAGCACGTTAGCAAGCTAATGTTAGCAAGCTAATGTTAGCAAGCTATTTAGCTCATAATCCCTCAGGGCTCAAGAAAACCTCAAAGATTTTTATAGTATAGATGTTTAACCTTATTATGATGACCGTTTTATCCCAAAAAAATTTATTTCACATAGCAGCTACACACTGAAAATATATTACTGCAAAAAATAAGGCACCACTTAAATTACACATAGGATCTCTATGAACAAAACATTCAAGTTGAAAATCTTTACAGCCTTTAAATTTGTGTAATTTATTGAGAACAAAATGACTTAATGGTCATAATGGAAAACCAAAATCATCAACGCTTTCATGGTTGGATTCAAAATTACACCAAAAATCAAGATCATTGATTTGTTATTGTTATTGAAATCACAGCCTGAACCAATCATAATGCCTGTATGCACTCTGACAATGTCTGGGATGAGGTTATGGATGGCATCCTGGAGGATATCCTGGACAGCTTTTTGGTGCAATTTAGCAGTGTCTCATGTATTACTACATAATGAAGTCTGGAGAACATGAGGACTAGCTGGTGGGCTCCAGGATCTGCCAAACATTCGCCTACCTAAAAGCAGCCAGGATAGTGTTGGCCGGTGTGTGAACCCAATTAGCCACCAATAATGTTTACATCCTGCTCTCACTGTGGAAAGACGTATGCTTCATTCTGCTATTATGACCAGGTGTAGTTTAGTGAAGGAGAAAGTAGTTCCTTCCTGAAAGTGCTCTTAGTAAGGTTTGTGTTGAAAACCAGGTCCTGATGTATTATTAGCTCTTAGAGCACAACAATGCAAGCACCATTTAGTTCCACTGTATTCAGGAGAAGGCAGGATTTTCTCCAGCCAATATCACCGCTCCATGGCCTGTGCAGTGATGCAATGAGCGATGATCCACATTAAACGTGTAATTCCTCTCGAATGGGTCGCGCTATTGTGTTTTTGCAAGCCGCAGTCAATATTGCATGATGCAGAGCTTTGTGTATTCTGAAGACTGAACATTTAGGTATTATTGGACAATGTGTCCTCGGTGCTAAACCAAAGAGAACTGGAGCAAAAAATTACAAGCGTTCACCCATCCTCCTCCTCCTCCTCCTCCCCTCCGCTTCACTACCTGTGTTTCTCGGTGGATTTCTTCGCCACTGGAGGCATGTTCTCTTGATTCATGAAGCAGATAAAAGAAGAGCGAGTGGATTACGACCTGACTCTTGACACATGAACGCGGCACACATTTGTGGCTCCGTGTGTCTCCAGACGACGACTCCTCCTCCTCATCTCATCCCAGTTAGAAAATGACCTAGATTCTCCAGGCTGCTGGATGTGTTTACATACACTGAGCGCTGATGACATTGTCAGTCAGAAAGCATCGCTCTCAGCTGCGAGGAGTGGGGCGCTTTTTACTGTAACCAAAGCGCCTATCCACCTCCCGTCATGATGAAATAGTGTGCAGAGCCACAGATCCCTGCTGTCCTCTGACTGCATGCATGATGGTGTTAATGGCTATTGATCCTTCTGACTGGCAGACAGCCAAGATATCTGGATGTTACGCCTGCTAGATATATTTATTTTTGCAGTGAACTGCAAGCTGCCTTCTGTTATTAGACTCCACAAAGGTTTTTTCTCTCCAAAAAAAAGAGATTTACATCTCTCTTCTCTCCCTCATCATGTATATTCACAAAAGGTCAAGTCCTTGTGCTCCTCCTGAGCTCTCTATCCCCCCTGACTGTGTCCTGAATAACATGTCCCTGATTCATCTCTTGTTCCAGAGCTTGTTCCTGCCCTGGCTGTATTTTTAATATAGCAGAGATGGGAGGGGTAGGCCTAATTGGGATTTGTTTTGTTCAACATCTGGCCATGTATCAGTCCTAGATTTCGCCTCAGTTGTATCTCACATGTAAAACATTGTATGTAGGGATCTGACTTGCATCTTTAAAAAAGCACATCGTTTCTCCCTCAGTTTGATCTTCTGTCCTTCGTCTAAAGGACAGGGCATGATGTGCCTCTCTGAACCACCTCACTGCATTTGTATTTAAAAGTCATATTTCTGTGCTGACATTTGTGAAGGTGCACTAGTGCTCGGGTTTCAGACTCGTCTGTGAAGACTGAGCTGTGGGAGAACATGCAAAAAGTCGACTGGAGACTTGATTGACAGGAAGCCTCTCCGAGGTGCCTCCCTGCTTTCAATCCATGCATGCTGGGGATATGCTCCAGTGCCCCCCTGACAACGGGCAGGAGAAAGTAGAGAATATGAAACTGGGAATTTTGTAGAGAACAGTGGAGTTTGCACACTTAGAGCTTTAAAGTGTAAAATTTGGCTACAAAAAAACTGTAATTAACCCTCTTTGGCATTTATCACACATTTGCCTCAGGTAAACTGCTTTAAAAGTCTCTTCCCTTTGACCAGCTGAAGAGAGCGTGGATCTAGAACAGTTCAACCGCTCTGGGAAAACTACTTGACCTCGCATGGGTTAAATACAGCTCCCGGTTAGCTTCCCTACAGGTTTTCTGCACCTGAGCTCCAAATGAAGCTTTTTACAAACTCAATTAAAACAAATTACTGGTCAAACATTCAAAGCATACCCGGCAATACAAAGCAATGTATCCTGACTGTAGCCAGAAACTGCGACAAGATAAGATTATTTAGGAAAGCAAGCCTTGGAAAAAAAATCAGCTTGACTCATTCTAGTAATTTATTTTGACATTTGTAAAACACATGCTGTGGCATTTTGAAACATAGACACGGCAGATTTGAAGCTTGTAAAATATTTGAATTCTATAATTGTCATTTATCATGTATGCATTGTCATATTGGGGACCTGCAGTTAGGGTTAGGGGTTTTTGCAACATATTTTTCATAATAAAGGTCCAATGCATGAAGATTTTTTTTTTTTTTTTTTTAAAACAGGATGAAAGTTCACTAGTGGAGGAAGAAGCACTCAGATCTTAAGAACGCGTAAAGGGAAATGTCGAGTCAAGTCACCTTTTTATAGAGCACATTTAAAAACAAGGGTTGGACAATATGTACTTTGTTGAAGCAGTGCCTGCACAAGAATTCACAGAATAGAAAGTGCAAATTTGTCTAGAGCAAAGAGGGAAATGCAAAATATAAGCCTGATGAAAAATGAGAAACACTAGCAAGTATTACAGTCAAAGTGTATTCTGTAGTAAAATGCTTCCACCAGGTGACTGGAGGTATTTGAGTAGAGACAGCTCGCTGAAATGTTCAAGAAAGCAGTTTGTGGTGCTTTGAGCTTTGTGGCGTGGGGTTTTATCCTGCTGGAAGCAGCCATCAGGAGATGGGTGGT